AATTTAGTTTAGGTAATATGTACTTTCCTGAACCGGTTCCTATACTTTTCCTTATTTTCATTTTTTCTCTCCTATGTGCAGCTTGTATCGACACCATTTTATTTCTACACTCATCCGGCGTGATTGCAGTTGAAATGTGATTGGAAAATTCACTTGCTATTTCATTTCAAGCGTCATTTTTTAAAATCTTATTAATAAAATTCGATTATGAAGTTTGAAAATAATGGTAATTATATTAAAATAACAACAAAAGATTATTTTTCATTTGATAAAGATTTAAATTTAAGTTTAGGAGGGATTGATACAATATATACACATTATGGAGAAAATTCATCATTAAATAATAACAACAAAATATTAGAAGTACATTGTAATATAATTGAAGAATCTATTACACATAATATTGATGAGGTATCTCATTATGATGAAGTTGTATTTGTATTTCAATATAATTCTAATAATGCTTTGAATAAACCTCTTAAAATGATATATAGACCAGTGAGTAAAAATCGGTTTCAAAAAATAGAAATTTATATTTTAGATTTGAAAGGTAATATTGTTAAAACATAAATTAAGTAATATTAAATAACAAAAACACCATGTCTCATGAAAACTTTATTGTTGCAAAAAATGATGCAGTATTTATCCTAGGCTTAGAAACCTGTCTCAAACTAAAATTAATAAATAGAACAGCAGTTAATGAACTAAAGAAATCAAATATAAAGAAAATTGAAGTAATGCATAAATATAGAGATGTGTTTAGAGGGGTAGGTTGTTTTAAGGAACCATATTCAATTAAATTAAAATAAAATCATATGCCCATATCAAAACCTCCACACAGAGTTCCAATTAAAGTAAAAGAAAAGTTAAAAGAAGAACTAAGTCGTTTAACTGAACTTGGAATTATATCTAAAATTAACGAACCCACCAGCTGGGTAAATAAAATAGTAATAGTGGAAAAACCAAATGGATCAATAAGAATATGTCTGGATCCAAAGGATTTAAATATGGCAATAAAAAAGGAATACTTTTCGTTACCAACATTAAATGATTTATCAGCTGAGTTAGGAGGATCGAAAATATTCAGTTGCTTAGATTTAAAGGATGGATTTTTTCATATACCTTTGGATAAGAAAAGCTCAGAATATTGTACATTTTCTACAATTTAAGGGTGTTATTCGTTTAATAGACTACCATTTGGTATATCAGTAGCCGCAGAAGTATTTCAGAAGTATAATACAGAATTGTTTAAAGATATAAAAGGTGTTTTTATATATGTAGATGACATATTAATACATGCTGAAACAGAAGAAGAACATAATAAAATATTAATTTAAGTACTTGAAAGAGCTAGGGCAAATAATATAAAGTTCAACAAAAATAAATTTCAATATATGCTCAATGAAATAAAATATTTAGGACACAGATTTAGTGAAGGTAAAGTACAACCCGATAAAAGTAGAATTACTGCGATAGAAAATTATGATCAACCAAAGAATAAAAAAGATTTGCAAAGATTTTTAGGATTAGTAAACTATCTTCGTAATTTTATGTAGCTGAAATAACATCTCCATTAAGACAATTAATTAAGAAAAATGCAGAGTTCATATGGAATAATACTCATACAGAATGTATTAGAAAATTAAAAAATATAATAACAAGTGAACCAGTGTTACAAAATGTCAATCCAAATCTCAAGAGTACGATACAAACAGATAGTAGCATGAATGGTATAGGGTGTGTGTTATTACAAAATGGAAAACCAAATGCCTCAAAAAGTCTATCACCGGTGGAATGTAATTATTGGCAAATTGATAAAGAATTTTTAGCAATTTAGTTTGCCTGTAATAAATTTTATCAGTTCATTTATGGGCAAAAAACTACTGTACAAACAGACCATTTGCCACTTATTTCACTAATGAAAAAAGATATTAATCAAATTTCATCAAAAAGATTACAACGAATTAAACTAAAATTAAGCTTAGGTATATGACATTGAAGTAGTGTATGTCGCAGGAAAGGAAATGTACATGGCAGATGCAATAAGTAGGGCATGTTCAAAGTCTGAACATCGTGAAACAATACCAGATGTAAATCAAGTAGGACATATGGTGAACAAGAGTAAAAAAAAGTAGAGTTAAAAAATATGTATATACATGGATGGCCGAATTCAAAAACAAAGGTACCGGAGATTATAAAATTTTATTTTAACCAAAGAAACAATATTTATGTAGAAGAAGAGTTAGTATTTTTAGAAAACCGTATTATAGTTCCAAAAACAATGAGATCAATAATTTTGAGTAAATTACATGAATCGCACCTTGGAATAGTTAATACAAAAGGCCGACCAAGAATGCTATTTTACTGGCCTAACATGAATGATGAAATAGAAAATGTAATAGCTAAGTGTAGAGTGTGTGAAAAATTTAGTTACAAAAATTGTAAACAACCAATGATAATAGAAGAACAACCTGACCTTCCATTTCAAAAAAATGGATGCGATATTTTAGAATACAAAAACAACTCATATATGGTGCTTGGGGACTATTATTCAAAATGGATCGAATTAGTAAAACTAAAGTCAAAAAATTCTGAAAACATAATAAGAGTGTTGAAAAATATTTTTTCAATACATGGAATACCTAGAGAAATGAGAGTAGATAATATGCCATTTGATTCTAAAAAAATAGAACTATTTAGTAAAGATTGGGATTTTATAATAACAAGGTCAAGTCCATATTACCCAAAAAGCAATGGATTTGCATAAAAATGTGTAGGAATAGCCAAACAAATTTTAAAAAAAAGTGATGAATCAAAAATTGAATTACAATTAATGCTGA